AACATTTTGCTAGTAAAGAGACTCTGATGCAATCTTCTCTTGATGATGATCATCTATGGTGGCCTTTAATCTTAGTCTCATCTCAAGCTCTTTCCACTTATGGAATGCTCTCTGGTGATTTGCTGCATTCTGGGTTTTTGAGTACATAAGCCATAGCTTCTCCACTTTATCTCCATTGGGGCTTTCATGCCAGTAATGTGTTGAATGGAAACTTCTATTTTCATAGTCTTTGGGGAACATGAAGTTTTTCACTTGCTGTGGCCCATGCAGTACAAGGAAGTCCCTCAGGCTACTGTTCAAGTGGGTCCACAGTCCTGGATCATCTAGACTAAAGGAACTAAACTCAGCAGCACCTGTTTCTTGGGCCTCCACCACACTCTTCTCTGATCTACACTTTTCTTCAGGAATGTGCATGGTTACATCCATTTGAGATGGAGATATGGATGCTGCAGTAGCTGCCAGGTCACCTGCACTCTCACTAACTGGAAGATCAGGCATCTCGTCACCACTCACATGCTCACTGAGGCCTGAAGGCTCACCGTGAACATTTGTGTCTATGTATCTCAGGAGAGCTCCTTCCTGCTTAGATAGAAAAGCTTCCTTTGCTTGTTTTCCTTTTCTGAATGCTGCCCCAGAGGGGCGTTTTCATCTTTCACTCATGACTGCTCTTCTGTGCCAGCTATAGTGGCTCTCAACACTCAGTTGAAGGGTACAAATAAACATGCTGGTAGCAGGGCCTGAGTGAGGGAAGATATCAACATCTTAAGGGCCTAACTGGCTCCTACTACTTCAGTTGACTGCCTGTTCTCCTCAAGTGGGTTTAGGGAAGCAGCAGGAAACAGGAAGCTCCCTGAGAAGCTGGTGTTAATCAGTCCAGGCTCCTGGGGGTGCTAGAGAGGTACATAAGAGGCTTCTCCTCCACTCTCTCCCTGAAGCTCCTGCTGCTTTCTGTTATTCCCTCTCACCTTGTCTCCTGCCTGCCTGTTATGTCTCTTGTGCCCTCCTTCCTCCAGCACAGCACTCCACCATCTCTGTGCATCTAGAGCAGAGAGAATACATATGCACCAGCAGCAGACACAATTTTCTACACTCTGGGTCCTAGTGGCACCCCCCACACACACTCAGTCTGGCACCTGAGGTGGCCGCCTCAGTTTGCCTCATGGTAAGGCCAGCCCTGCATGAACATAACTAGCCATTGGACTGAGATTAAGCATAGGAAGGGTCAGGGGAATTTTTCAGAAAGGTATGAGCATACAAAAACTGAGGGTTTATTTCGAGAGTCTAAAACTGAAAATCTAAATGTAATTATAGCTATAGGGGAGCCTTAACCACTACCTCCCTCTCTCCCTCTCCCTCTCCATTAAAAAAAGGATCAGTAGAACTAAGCAGCAGCAGAGAAAGCGGCTGTAACTAGAAAACCAGCACAGAACAGCAGCTGGTGACAAATAAATCTTAACTTAGAAATTCTATTGTTTAGCGATAAGTGTCAAGAAAAGCAGGACTGCAGCTATGAGGTACAGCACGCTAAGTTAGAGCACAGATTGAGATGCAAGGCCAAGTCGTAGCATTGCCTTAGTCAAATACAGCAGGAGAAAGAGAGCAATGATCAGCTTTCTTCTCAGCACTGCAGTGGGTCATGTTAGTAAAAATAGTGAGCTATGGTTTGACACCACATTCTGCCCTCACCTTGCCCCACCCCGCCAATCTTGGAATACAGACCAAATAAAACTGAAGGTGCCAGTGAGCTTTGGGCTTTTCAGGTTTTGTTTTCTTCATGTATTCCTACATGCTTGTTCATTCATCAGCACTATGACTACTCATGCCTCTAATTTTGGATGAGAGAGCAGGGATCACTCCAGCCAACATCAATACCATTCACTGGATTTATTGAAAGCCTATGCTGAAAAGCAGCACGTGCTGCCGAAGACCACGTAGGCCTGTGTAACCCACACACCATTGGCTTACCAGAGAAACCCTTGGAAGCTTAAACACAAAAAGGCAGCTTATAAGAAGTGGAAACTTGGACAGATGACTAGGGAGGAGTTTAAATATATTGCTCAAGAATGCAGGGGTGTGATCAGGAAGGTAAAAGCACAACTGGAATTGCAACTAGCAAGGGATGTGAAGGATAACAAGAAAGGTTTCTACGGGCATGTTATCAATAAGAGGGTGATCAGAGAGGTTGTGGGGCACTTACTGGATGAGAGAGGTAACCTAGGGTATGTCTACACTACCACCCTAGTTTGAACTAGGGTGGTTAATGTAGGCAATGTATCCCGAGCTTCATTTGCATCTTGCCGGGCACCGCCATTTTTAAATCCCCGGTAGTTCGGACTCCGTGCCCGCGGCTACACGCGGCACGGAGTATTTGCAACTTCCAATGCCTACATTAGCCTCTCTAGTTCGAACTAGGGGGCTAGTATAGACATACCCTTAGATACTTGAAAGCTGCTCTCATGTCCTTTCTTGGTCTTCTCTTTTCGAAGGTAAACAAGACCAATTTCTTCAGCCTTGCCTTATATCTCATGTTCTCTAGACCTTTTGTATTGATCTTCATTGGACTTTCTCCAGTTTCTCCATGTTTCCTGAAATGTGGTGTCCAGAACTGGACGAGATATTCCAGCTGGGGCCTAATGTAGATGGCTCATTCCCTGCCTAGGGGACGTGAAACTGGGCGGGTTAATTTCCAATCCTTCTGTTTATTCTTTTCCTAAGCCAGGAGGGCACAGTAGTTCTGATGGGGGCTCTACAGGAAGGCAGTCCACACTGTCCCCTTCCTGAAACCTTATGCAGGTGTTAAACAGCTGTCCAGCCCACCCTAGAGGTGATAGATAGCTGCAGCGGCACAGGAGCCAGCAAACAGAGCTGTAAACAGGGGAGTTTGAGTGGGAGTTTGTAAAGGGAGTTTGGATATTGGGACTTGTTTGGGATTTGTTTTTGCTGTGGAGGGGGTGTTTTGGTCTGTTTTTGTGTTCACTGGACTAATAGGATTTTGGTGAGAAAGTAGATAAAACACAGAGGCAGTAGTGGCCATGGCCCAAGTAGTAGAGAACACAAGGAGGATGATTGGATGTGGTAGTTGCGGTATGTACATGATTCTGGAGGGGGTACCTGAAAGGAGTTTTGTTTGCATGAGTGCCACCTGATAGAGCTGATGGAAGAAAAGATCCGAGGACTGGAGATGCAGGTGGAAACTCTGGTAGAGTTTAGAAGGGGGTTTGAGCAGATGATGGAGCAAAGGCGTGACGTGGCTGAAGGGGAAAGCTTAGATATGCAGATGGAAGCAGGATCAAGGGCCTCAGAGGGGGGACTGCTGGGCAAAGAAAATGGACAGTGGAAGCATGTGACTCAGAGAACCAGGCAGAGGAAAAGATGGGTCAGTGAAGGAAAAAAGGGTTCAAGAACAGGTATGTGGAGCTGGAGAATGAAGAAGGGGTACAGCAGGTAGATAATGAAGATGGAAGGGTAAGGAAGAAGAGAAGAGTGACTAGTCCCATAGATAAAGGGGAAGACTTAATGGAGACAACACCAATAATGAGCATTAGGAGGATTCAGAATGGGTTAAAGAGGATTACAAGGGAAAATAGGAATGGCAAGGACTTGCAGCCAGAGGAAGCAAGAGATAGACCAGAGAATCGCACTGTCACTAGGAAAAGGCAGGTCTATGTGATTGGGGACTCCTTATTGAGAAGAATATATAAGCCAGTAACCACAGATAGTTCGGATTAGAAGTCTAACTATCTAGTCCGTGCCGCGTGGAGCCACGCGGCACGGGGTTCGCACTAGCCGGCTTTTAAAAATGGCGGCGCCGGCTTTATGCTAATGAAGCCCGGGAAATTCAAATCCCAGGCTTCATTAGCAAGTTCGGTATGCATACATTACCCCCCTAGTTCGAACTAGGGAGGTAGTGTAGACATACCCTCAGTCAGTTCTGAACATGAGATGTAGCAGCCCAGTCCTAATTCCTTCAGGCACTTGGGATGGAAGAGTCCCAAGTATTGTTACAGGCTGGGGACCGACTGGCTAAGCAGTCGTTTGGTGGAAAAGGACCAGGGGATTACAGTGGATGAGAATCTGGATATGAGTCAACGGTGTGCCCTTGTAGCCAAGAAGGTTAATGGCATATTAGGGTGCATTAGGAGAAACATTTCCAGCAGATCAAGAGAAATTATTATTCCCCTTTATTCGGCTCTGGTGAGACCACGTCTGGAGTACTGAGTCCAGTTATGGGGGCCCCACTACAGAAAGGATGTGGACACATTGGAGTGGGTTCAGTGGAGGGCAACCAAAATACTTAGGGGGCTGGAGCACATGCCCAAGAGGAGAGGCTGAGGGATTTGGGCTTATTTAGAGAAGTGATTTGATAGCAGTCTTCCACCTCCTGAAGGAAGGTTCCAAAGAGGATGGAGAGAGGCTGTTCTTAGTAGCTGCAGATGGCAGAACTCGGAGCAATGGTCTCAAGTTACGGTGGTGGAATGTCTAGGTTGGACATTAGGAAAAACTATTTCACTAGGAGGGTGGTGAAGCACTGGAATGGGTTACCTAGGGAGGTGGTGGAATCTCCATCTCTAGAGGTTTTTAAGTCCTGGCTTCACAAAGTCCTGGTTGGGATGATTTAGTTGGGGTTGGTCCTGCTTTTGGCAGAGGGCTGCACTGGATGACCTCCTGAGGTCTGTTCCAGCCCTAGGATTATAGACTCCTGGTTAATCCATCCGGGATCTGAGAAACCCTCCCCATCAAGAAACGTTTCCTTTCCATGCTCACATTTCTATGACAAGTTTCATCCATGGACCATAGGAATGCTGGGCTGGGCCAGGCTGCATGGACTCACAATGCGCCAGGGCAGGTCTGTGGTTGGCAGCAGGGGGCTCCCACTTGGTGCCACAACTTGCCCAGGCAGGCTGGATAGGAGCCGGCCCTGGGCTGATGTCTGGGGGGCAGTGGTACCTGCAAGGGAAAGGGCACAGGGAGGGCCAGGCAGAGGGGCAAGGTGGGTGCGCATGGAGAACCCCATTCAGCAATTAACATGTTGGCAGGGCACGGAGGGGCGGTGCTTTCCCCCAGGGCGAGCCGCTGTCGCCTGCGCTGGAGAGTTTAGCGGGGGCAGGTTTGTAACGAGGCTCCTGTCCCTGGCGGGCTCCTCGCGGGACGAAAGCCCCTCCCGGGGCTGAG